GGCTCAGGCAATCCACTCACCTCGGCCTCCCAAAGTGCTGGGATTACAGGCTGAGCCACCGAGCCCGGCCTCTTTGCCCACTTTTTAATGAGGTTATTTTTTTCTTTTTATTTCATTTGAGTTCCTTGTAGGTCCTGGATGTGAGGCCTTTGTTGGATGCATAGCTTGCAAATATTTTTTCCCATTCCATGGGTTGTCTCTTTACTTTCTTGATGGTTTCATTTGCTGTGCAAAACATTTTAGCTTGATGAAGTCCCATCTGTCATTTTTAGCTTTTGCTGCATTTGCTTTTGAGGTCTTGGCCATGAATTCATTGCTTACTCCAGGAGGGTGTTCCCTAAGTTTTCTTCTAAGATTCTTGTAGTTTGAGGTTTCATATTTAAGACCTTGAGCGCTTTTTGGAGGGTAATTTTTATTGTGATAGGTAGGGATCCAGTTTCATTCTTCTGGATGTAGCTAAGCAGTTTTCCTAGCACATTGGCTAAATATGGTTTCTTTTCCTCCATGTTTGTTTTTGTTGGCTTGTTGAAGTTGAGTTGCTTGAAGATGTGTGGCTTTTTTTTTTGAGTTGGAGTCTCACTCTGTCACCCAGGTCGGAGTGCAGTGGCACGGTGACGGCTACCGCAGCCTTGACCTACTGGGCTCAGGCGATCCTTCTGCCTCAGCCTTCCAAGTAGCTAGAACTACAGGCACGCACCACTGTTCCTGGCTAATTTTTTTGATTTATTTTAGAGATGAGGTTTCACCAAATTGCTCAGGCTGGTCTTGAACCTGTGGACTCAGACAATCCTCTCACCTCAGCCTCCTAAACTGCTGGGATTATAGGCATGAGCCACCATGCCTGGCCAAGTCTGTGACTTTATATGTGTGTTCTCTGTCTTGTTCCATTGGTCCCTCTGCTTTATTTTCAACTCCTTTGGAAGGCAGAACCCCTCTTGCTCATTTGGCTTTTTTTTTTTTTTTTTTTTGCGTTGGAGTCTCACTCCATTGCCCATGGCTACCCCAGTGCCCATGCCTGGCTGTCCTTCTGCCTCAGCCTTCCAAGGAGCCAGAACTACAGGTGCGCGCTACCACACCTGGCTAATTTTTGATTTACTGTAGAGACAAGGTCATGCCAAGTTGCCCGGGCTGATCTTGAATCTGTAGGCTCAGACAATCTATTTGCCTCGGCCTCCCAAAGTGCTGGGATGACAGTCTGAGCCACGGAGCCTGGCCTCAATTGCCTCTTAAAGAGACAGTTGGTTTTGATGTTCTTTGGTCTGAAACCTGGGGTCGGCTTGTATGTAGCACAGGGTGGCTGTGTCTTAGCCTTTACTTATCCAGGAGTAGTAAGAGGAGAGCCCACAGGAGAGTGAGAGCAGGACTGTATTTGGGCAGGGATAGAGGGGCACTGGGGTGGCCAGGAAGGCAGGTGGCTGCACCTTGTCACCTTTAGCCCAGCAAAGACCATTTGCAAGGAGGACACTTGATATCAGAACTGGCTGGGAAGCATGGACTTATAGCCATGTTGTGTGTGTGGGGAGAGGGAAGCATTGAAGAGTGTGAGGGTCTTTTTTCTATACATATGAGGCTACAAGATGGGTATTTGGAATTCTGCAGCTTTGAGGTGTGGCTGTGAGCAGGAAGGGGCCCTGGTTCAGGCACTGGTGTTGTCTGGAGTGACTGGGGAGGCATGGGTTCTGTGGCCTGGCAGACTCTACCCCTGGAGAAGCTCCCCCACAGCCCCTCGTCCTGAGCCCTGGTGCCTCTTGTCCCTGCTTTCACCAGACAGAGCCACCATGGGGACGACAGCCCCAGGGCCCATTCACCTGCTGGAGCTATGTGACCAGAAGCTTATGGAGTTTCTCTGCAACGTGGACAACAAGGACCTGGTGTGGCTCGAGGAAATTCAGGAGGAGGCAGAACGCATGTTCACCAGGTGAAGGCAGTGTCTGCCTGGGCTGTAGCGGGTGCCCTTGGGGGGGACACAGCAGCCTCCCCTCCCTGCCCGACAGGCAAAGCATCCTGTCAGTGATCCCTCCTGTGTGCCCAGTGTGTTGGTGTCATGGGAAGAGGAAGGCGGGGGGTAGAGTCTCTCGCCTGCGGACTGTAGTTGGTTGGGCCGGGCCTCTTAGGGTGGGGCTGTGGAGGCTCCCCTGGGAACTAGCCTCCCTCCTGTGTCTCCAGGAGGAAGACCTGAGTGCCCGGCAGGTGGCTTGCAAGTGGCCTTAGAGAACTTGCCTGGTGCTAGTGACCCCGGCTTGACCAGTCACCGCCAGGAAATGGGCAGGGGCCGGGCTGGGTGGGAAAGGGGGCCAGCAGTTCCCAGGGAGCCTCGAGCATCCCCTTCTTTGTCTGAAACAGAGAATTCAGCAAAGAGCCAGAGCTGATGCCCAAAACACCTTCTCAGAAGAACCGACGGAAGAAGAGACGGATTTCTCATGTTCAGGATGAAAACAGAGATCCCATCAGAAAAAGGTAGGAGGGGACAGAGGAGGGCGAGCTGGGCAGATGGACTTGGCGGAGGTTTGGTGCCCTCTGAGAGAATTTGGTTTGGAAGTAGTGACCTGCAGGACTGGCGATGGGTGCCATGTGGGCCATGCTGAGGGGCAGATGCCATGGAGAAACCGAGTGTGACCCAAGACAATGGAGCCTAGAGTGTGCGTCTGTGCGTGGGTGCTGGGGGTGTTTGCTCTGGGCCTTGGAGGATGAGAAAGTTCAGAGATGGGATGGGAAAGGGCAGCTGACTTTCTATTAGGTAAGCGTGTGTGGAGGTGTGGACAGCGCTCCTGGTGCCATACTTGCTATCATGCCCCATAGGAACGATTGGGGCTGTGGGAGACTTTGGAAAGGGGCTGGGTCTTAGGTCAGGCCTGTCTCTTAGGACTTGTATGTCTTTGGTTAACCTTCTACCTTTCTGAGCCTCCATTTCCTCATCCCTAAAGTGGGCATAATGGTACCCACCTCTCAGGGCTGTCTTGTGGATTAAGCAAGAACACATGGAAAGTTTTCAGGGGCTTGGCACAGTGTGACTTCAGTCAGGGGGAGGTTTGTATGAATTTAATCCTTCTAGCAGTTTTGTGGCATTATCCCCAATTTACAGTCAGGGAGACTGAGGCACAAACAGGAATGGCCCAGGGGCTTCATGACTAGAAGTGGCAGAGCCTGGGCTGGAACCCAGATCTTTTGCCTCCAAGCCCTCTCTGGTCATACTCCGTCCAAGCTGGTGACTCCTGGGAGACAACTGCCCAGCTCGGTTTTTGGGATGCCCCTCTGCCCTGCTGGGCTGTGTCAGCCTCGGCTCTGCTCCCTTGGCAGGTTATCCCGCAGAAAGACTCGGAGCAGCCGGCGGAGCTCCCGGCGCCTGCGCAGCAAGGACAATGCGGAGAGGCTGGCCAGTGTGGCAGGCGAGAGCGGCCCCGTCCTGCGGCGGGTGACCCGCGCCGCGGCCGCAGCCGCCGCCTCCGTGGCATCCATTGCATCCTCGCCAACCCCTGAGTCTCCCACGGTGCTGACCAAGAAGCCCGAAGATAACCTCGCCCAGTGCCAGCTGGTGCCCGTGGTGGAGATAGGCACCCGCGAGCGCCAGAACGCCGAGCTTTACTGCACCCGGCTTAGGCCCGCTGGGGCTCCGTGCCCAGCCCCAGCTTCCGCCGCAGCTGCGGCCTCCCAGGGCACCCTGGCGTCAGATGAGGAATCCACGCCCAAGAAGTCAGAGACCAGGAGACTGGAATCCGTCGCAGTGAGCTCCCTGGTGGCTACACCCCAGGACCCCAAGGGCCGAGGGGTTGGGACAGGGCGATCCGTCTCCAAGCTCAGGATTGCGCAGGTCTCCCAGGGCCCATGGGGCTCGCCGGGCTCTCCAGACTCTCCGTGGCGGGAGCGGGTGCTGGCCCCCATCCTGCCGGACAACTTCTCCACGCCCACCGGCTCCCGAGCGGGCTCTGGATCAGTGCGGCGCAGCCTGATCTCGGCGTCCTCCCTGGATCCCCAAGTCTTACTGGCCCAGAATGACTCCCAGGTGGCCAGACAGGAAAGCACTGTCGCCAGATCCAGCAGAAGGGCTGCCCAGAAAGCGGAAGAGCCTGCTCCCTCTGGCCGCATCATCTGTGAGTCTGGGGGCTCGGCAGTGGGGGGCGCTGCGGCTGCGGTTAGCCCTTGGTGCCAGCCTCGGACCAAGGGTTTCTGAGGGACCATCTGGCCAGGGGGCTGTTCACAGAACTTTCTGCGATGATGTGTGTTCCACAGTCCTGCTGTCCTGGGTGGTAGCCATCAGCTAGCCACGTCTGGTGTCAGGCTGTTGTGTCCTAAAGATGTGATTGATCAGTCTGATTGAGGAAGTGAATTTTAAATTTTATGACATTTGCCGGGCTCGGTGGCTCAGCCTGTAATCCCGTGCTTTTGGGAGGCTGAGGTGAGTGGACTACCTGAGCCCATGGGTTCGAGACCCCCCTGGGCAGCGAGACCTCATCTCTACAATAAATCAAAAAATCAGCCAGGTGTGGTAGCGCATACCTGTAATTCCTGCTACTTGGAAGGCTGAGGCGGAGGATCGCCGGAGCCCAGCAAGTCGAGGCTGCGGTGGCCGGGAGCGGCCACTGCACTCCAGTCTGGGCGACAGAGTGAGACTCCAACTCAAAAAAAAAAAAAAATTTATGACATTTTACTTAATTTAGGCTTAGATGGCCACGTGTATGTAGCTAATAGCTATTATATTGGACAGTGCAGATCTCACCCAACCTTCTTGTTTTACAAATGGGGAAACAGGTCCAGGGAGGATGACCACAGTGTCGCTGTGGTTAGTGGCCACTCTGAGCCTGGACCTTGGGCGCTTTCCCCAGGGCCAGCCTCTTCTTCCCACTTCCTGTGCTGCAGAGACTACTGTGAATTCTCAATGCAGCAGGCTCGTTCTGGGAGAACAGGCGACTGAAAATCTGATGAGAGACAGGAGGCAGGGACCAGCTGACTGTGGCTGGATGGCCTGGCCCTGAGCGCCAGCTTAGCATTGGCCTACCCTGTGACCGAGGCAAGGTCCCAGAAACATCACAAACCTTTGTTCCTCACCTGTCATTGGGGGATCAAGCAGCATCCCTTCAAGCGTTGTGAGGTTTTCTCTGATGAGCTCATACAGGGAGTTTAGAATGGAACCCTGTGCGTAGGAAGGGCTCATAACGTTAGCTAGTGTCATCGTGAGCGGGTCTCAGCTTGGGACAGTTACCTACTGGGAGCAGATGCCAGGAGAGTCAGGACGGGCTGCATGAGGAGGTAGGCTCTGAGCGGGGGGTTTTTGGTGGATGCCTGTGTTTTTGCCAGGTGGAAAAAAACGTGGGGCTAGGTGTTCCTGGCAGGGGGAATGCTTCTACAAAGACCCTGAGATCTGACCTGGACCAGCAAATGATGAGGTGTCTGAGACTCATGGGCCATGGCTTAGTGATGGGGAAGGGAGGGCAGAAGGCAAGGAGGCAAGGAGGCCAGGTAGGGGGCTGCTGCAAGGGTCTGGGTAAAGTAGTGGATTGATAGTGAGGACAGGCCAAGTTTTATATGGATGTGTGTAACAGTCACCGGCATCTGCCTGGCACTTTAAGATTTATAAAAGGAGTGTGGGGAGATGCGGTTGGAACATGTGCAGGGTGGCACACTGCCCATTTTTCGGTTCTCAGAAGGACCTAAATGGTTCAGATCTGCTGTGGTGATTTCTTCAGGTCTGGATCTGATCTGGAAGGGGCCCTAAGGGGCCATGAGCCAGGACCTGTGGAAGGAGGGAGGGCTGGGTGGGGCGGGCAAGAGAATCTCAAGGCCCTCCCTTGCCTTTGGAGCAGGCATCCAGATTTGCAGCTCTTATGCCCTCTGCCTGCTCACCCCCTCGGCCCCCTTCCTGCCCATCTGCAGGCTTCTGATATGACTGGTGTGTGAGTATGTGACTCAGGTCTGCCAGACTCCCAGCCCAGTCTTGTCCCCCTTCTTGAGGTGGAAGGAAGAGGGAGAGGATGAGCAGGATCCAGGATCTAGAGTCACACCGAGCCCCAGTGACCTTGGGTATACCCTTTCTCTCAACCTCAGTTTCCCCATCTGTGACATAGTGGTAATACCTGAGCATGAGTAGAGACCCATCTTAGTGCTTAATACTCAGTAAATCTGATTTTTTTTTTTTTGGAGACACTCTTGCTCTGGAGTGCGGTGGCATGATCAGAGCTCACTGTAGCCTTGACCTCCTGAGCTCAGGCTATCCTCTTGCCTCAGCCTCCCTGCTAGCTGGGATTATAGGTGTGTAACACCATGCCTGGCTAATTTTTAGATTTTTTTTTTGTAGAGACAAGGTTTCACTGTGTTGCTATGTCTTGAACTTCTGGGCCAAGCAGTCCTCCTGCCTCGGCCTCCCAAAGTGCTGGGATTACAGGCATGAGCCACTGTACCCAGCCTAGTAAATCTGATTTAAACAAAACAAATGATCAAACCCAGGAAAGGGGCCATGTCCCTAATGGTCAGTGCAGGTGTGGCCAGGTGACCCCTAACAAGAAGCTGCAGGGGTGCATGGGTGTAGGGGAGTGAGAGGAGAGGAGACTTCCTGGGGGACTTGACACCAGGCTCTGGGGTATGACTTGCAGGCAACTCTGAGGTAGGATCTGGTTTGGGCTCTCAGAAGCAGCCCTTCCCACAAGGATTTGAGTGCAACTCGTTAATTTTGGAGGGGAAGGAAATACCTGCAGCAGGGCCATGGGGAAGTGAGAAAGGAAAAGAAGGCCAGCAGTTAAGGTGGGCGCAGGGGACCTCTGGAAGCCAGGGTGGGGCCCCAGGGCGAGGGCCTGTGGGGTGCGGGCATCCTGCCCCCAGTCTGGTGCACACCTGCCAGAGAGGGACTTTGGATGGCAGCTCTGGAGTGGTTAGGCAGGGGACAGAGCTGCTGCTTCAGGGCTTCTGGAGGGTCCTGCTGTATAGACCAGGAACCTCCTTGGAGCTCCCAGCTGCCTCAGCATTGGGGAACTGCCCTTTAGCCAGGCTTTAGGCCACCTCCCTGCCACCAGAGCACCTCTGACGCTCGAATGGCATGTAAATGGCACTTGTACTGGTGGGAGAGATGTGTGGTCACATGGGTGACCCTCACCAGGAAGCACTGAGTTGGCTGGCATGGGGAGATGAGGTGGGCCATGCCTTCTACCACAGATCCCTCAAGTGGGGGCAGTCACTACCCACTGCCAGCAGCCTGGCTCTGCTGCTACTCCCTCTACCCCCAGCCTGGCGGCTACACCTTGGCAAGGCCTCTGCTTCCCGAGTCCCTGCCTGGCCGATTGTCTTCCCTCTTTCCCTGAGCCTGGACGTACCTGGCCTGACCCAGCTGCCTCTCAGCCTTACCTCTGCCACGTTCCCATGGCTTGGCGTTTGCCAGCTGAGGTGGCCTTCCCCTTCCCCCCTAAAGCCCCCTTTTTCCTGCCTTGTGGCCTTGGCAGGTACTCTCTGAACAATAGCGCTCAAGTTTGGGTCCCGGTACCTGCTTCCAGTTTTAAAAACTATTGAGGGCCTCAAAACGCTTTTAATTATGAGATTATATCTACTGATAGTTACTGTACTAGAAATTAGAGCTGAGGGATCTAAGGTATTTAGTATTTTATTTTTTATATTAATACTATTTAATACTTCATTTTTTTTTTTTTTGAGTTGAAGTCTCACTCCTTTGCCCAGGCTGGAGTGCAGTGGCACGCATGCTCACGGCCACCCCAGCATCAACCTTCTGGGCTCCGGCGATCCTTCTGCCTCAGCCTTCCGAGTAGCTGGAACTACAGATGGGCACTACTACGCCTGGCTATTTTTGATTTTCTTGTAGAGATGAGGTCTCCCCAAGTTGCCTGGGCTGGTCTCGAGCTTGTGGGCTCAGGCAATCCTCTCACCTCAGCCTCCCACAGTGCTGGCATTACAGGCTGAGCCACAGAGCCCGGTGTACTTCAATGTTAAAGGATCTAAAATGTTGCTTAATATTTTGACATTAAAAATTAAAGTAACCAAGTTAGTTACCTGTTAATGTAAGATTTTGTGTGAAAAAAATAACTGTTGATCAGGCGCAGTGGCTAACGCCTATAATCTCAGCATTTTAGGAGGCCTAGGTGAGAGGATTGCCTGAACCCATGGGTTCGAGACCAGCCTGGGCAACATGGTGAGGCCTCATCTCTACAATAAATAAAAAAACTAGCCGAGTGTGGTGGCATGTGCCTGTAGTTGTAACTAGTTGGAAGGCTGAGCGGGAAGGACTGCCTGAGAACAGCAGGTTGAGGCTTGCGGTGGCCGTGAGTGTGCCACTGCAGTTCAGCCTGGGTGACAGCGTGAGACTGCAACTAACAATAATAATAATAAACTGTTTCCAATACAAAAATGTAGTGAGGAAATTGGCATTATCCTGCATTTTTCAGATCTCTTCAATGTATGATCTGTTGCATTATGTTGTTTGGGTTAAAGTATCTGAAGAAAATCTGTCCTCATACATGTATAGTTGGAAAAGGATGGAGTCTCTTAATAGTTTTTGCAGATACTTGTACATTTTCTTTGTTGTTACATCCAACCCAACAAGTAATGGTTTTTATTTTATTTGTTTATTTTATTTATTTATTTTTTACAGGATTTATTGAGAAGACAAAAAAGCTTCCACAGTGGGAGGTGACCCGAAGGGGTTGCTAAGTAGTGGGGTTTTTTTTGAGTTAGAGTCTCACTCTGTTGCCCAGACTGGAGTGGCGACTCCCGGCCACCGCAGCCTCGACCTGCTGGGCTCCAGTGATCCTTCCGCCTCAGCCTTCCAAGTAGCTGGAACTATAGTAATGCACTACCACGCCCGGCTAATTTTTTTGATTTATTGTAGAGATGAGGTCTCGCCAAGTTGCCCAGGTGGGTCTTGAACCCGCGGGCTCAGGCAATCCACTCACCTCGGCCTCCCAAAGCGCGGGATTACAGGCTGAGTCACCGAGTCCAGCTGTAGTGGTTTTTAAAGGCTCATTGCTGTGGAATCTGAAACTGTGATGTTGATTTCACATGAGTCTATCTTGCACTTTGAATGGATCTTTTATTTTGTTTATTTTTATTTATTTTTATTTTTTTTGAGTTGGAGTCTCACTTTGTCGCCCAGACTGGAGTACAGTGGCCGCTCCCGGTCACCGCAGCCTCCACCCGCTGGGCTCTGGTGATCCTTTCACCTCAGCCTTCCAAGTAGCTGGAACTACAGGTGCGCGCTACCACGCCTGGCTAATTTTTTAATTTATTGTAGAGATGAGGTCTCGCCAAGTTGCCCAGTCGGTCTCGAACCCACGGGCTCAGGCAGTCCACTCACCTCAGCCTCCCAAAGCGCTGGATTACAGGCTGAGCCACCAAGCCTGGAGAATGGATCTTTTAGTCATGTGGTTTTTTTGTTGTTGTTGTTTGGTTGGTTGTTTTGAGTTGGAGTCTCACTGTTTTGTCCAGGCTGGAGGGCAGTGGCACACTCACAGCCACCCCAGTGTCGACATGCTGGGCTCCAACCATCCTTCTGCCTCAGCCTTCCACGTAGCCAGAATTACAGGCACGTGCTACCACACCCGGCTAATTTTTGATTTATTGTAGAGACAAGGTCTCACCAAGTTGCCCAGACTGGTCTCGAACCTGTGGGCACAGGCAGTCCACTTGCCTTGGCCTTCCAAAATGCTGAGATTACAGGCTGAGCCACCAAGCCTGGCCTAGTCATGTGTTTTTATTTATTTTAATTTTTGTAGTAATGGGGTCTTGCTATGTTGCCCAGGCTGATCTCAAACTCCTGGCCTCAAGTAGTCATTCTGTCTTGACCTCCCAAAGTGCTGGGATTGCAGGCTTGAGCCACCGTGCTTGGCCACTGTGTGTAATTTTATAACCTTGGTCATTTGGAAAATACTGCTTCTCTGAATTTTGCACATCTTCCAAATGTCGACATACTCCATTAAATAATGTCAAAAAAAAGCACATTTGTTTTTTGAGCTCATCAGAAGTTTTTAGGTCTTAGAAAACTGTGAAGCTCTGGGTGGTAGATACATGTTTTTCAAAATTCTACTTTGGGCTTCTTTTGGGCTCTGTGGTTGTCAACACATATGTCGTTTTATTTTAAGTGACAGATTCAACTCATTCATTTGAAAATGTCTTCCAAATACCTAGAATTGAGTAACCACAGTTTATTGGTTGTTCTTTTAATTTAAAAAAGTGAAGAGGTGGCCAGTTCACCTAGCAACTCAGAAATAAGCACTTTTTGTGGAAAGTGGGGTTGGCAGCGGCAGGGCCTTTTGCATGCTTGCCACTTGTCTCCCAGGACTATAGAAGGATGTGTGCTTGAGTTTAGATGTAATGAAACGAGTCCTTTTTATGCCTTCCTCAAAGACATTCTAGTGGAACTGGCTCCCTCCCGTGAGTGTGCAATGCGAAGACGGCATTCGACGCTCCAGGCCTGGATGGGGCTCAGGTGTCCACATTTTTTTCCCCATTGCTTTTGCACTGTCTGGGCAGGTATCAATAAGTAAATGGGGGAAATAATATTCATGCATGCACTCATTCATTCATGTATTTTTTATATATATATATATATATATATATATATATATATATTTTTTTTTTTTTTTTTAGTTGGAGTCTCACTCCATTGCCCAGGCTGGAGTGCAGTGGCATGCTCACAGCCACTCCAGCATTGACTTTCTGGGCTCTGGCAATCCTTCTGCCTTCCAGGTAGCCAGAACTAGAGGTGCATGCTACCATGCCTGGCTAATTTTTGAGTTATTGTAGAGACGAGGTCCCGCCAAGTTGCTCGGGCTGGTCTTGAACCCGTGGGCTCAGGTAATCCGCTCGCCTCAACCTTCCAAAGTGCTGGGATTACAGACTGAGCCTCTGAGCTCGGCCTAATTATTATATTTTTAAGATAAGATCTCACTCTGCCACCTAGGCTGGAATGCAGTGACAGGATCATGGCTCACCTCCGCCTCAACCTCCTGAGTTCGGGTGATCCCCCCACTTCAGCCTCCTGAGTGACTGAGATTACAAGCATGTGCTGCCATGCCTGGCTAATTTTTAAATTTTTTTGTAAGACGAGGTTTCGCCAGGTTGCCCAGGCTGGTCTCAAACTCTTGGGCTCAAGCAATCCTCTTGCTTTGGCCTCTAAAAGTGCCAGGATTACAGGTCTAAGCACCGAGCCCAGCTGAAAACAACATTTTAATATGATGATGAAGATAGCTATGCCCTTATGAATCCCCTGAAAGCATCTCGGAACTTCCAGGGGTCGGAGAGCTACCCTTTGAGCTCCACTGGCCTGGACACCCTCCTCCCTCCTGCTATCCCCTTTTGTCTGTAAACTCCTGTTCTTTACAGCTCTTCCAGGCCAGCTTGCTCCTTTGCTCCCATTGCAAGCTTTCAGAACCCTCTACTTTCTTCTGTCACTGCACATACGGGTGGCGTTGATAGGAGTATTTGATGATGGTTATCAAGACCAGACAGTAGCTCTGTGTGTTTTGCTCATCATTTGGTCCTCAGCACCTGGCCCAGGGCTCGGTGCATAGAGGTGCTCGGTGGCTATTTGTTGAATGAATAAGCTACTTTGTGTGACGCCCATGCTAGGGGCTGGGGGCCTGGGACAGTGTCAGACATTGTCCTTCTTCCCAAGATGCTCTCAGTCCAGTGAAAGAGCAGAGTTGAGCCCTTAGGCATGTTCCCAACTAGGAGGTAGCAGGGGACTTAAAGCCAGCAGCTTCATGGAGGATGCCAGGATGTGTGCTGAGGGTGATGGCCTCTCCTGTGCTGGGCCTCCATGGCTAGTGAGGGTGCAGTGGCCAGGCCCCCACTGGAGCCTGATCCCCTGGACCTTCTAAGAGTGCCACCTGTCTGGCTTCTGATGGCCTCTTTTGTTCCTCTGTTTTCCGCCTCAGGCCACAGTTACCTGGAGAGGCTCCTGAATGTTGAGGTGCCCCAGAAAGTCAGGTGAGTTCAGTCCCAGGGCTTAGGAAGCTAGCAGGGCCCACTGGGGACAGAGGGAGTTCAGGTGAGCACCAGGGCTGGAAGCATTTCCTAGGGCTGGACCTGCCCTCTGACTGCCCAGGGGCCACCCCCTGCTTCCTGTCGCCAGCCAGGGACATGGCAAGTGACATGGTTCCCAGGCCTCCCTGCAGCGTCTGGCAGCAGCCAGGCCTGACAACTCTCGCCCCGCCCCCCATCCCCAGCCTGGTATCCTCATGGGCTCCATCGGCTGTGGTTGAGGCAGAGCAGCCATGTTCACACAGGGGTGGGTAGAACAGAAGTGCTCCAGGGTCACGCCCAATGTGGCTTCATTTGGGCTGGGACACTGACTACTTTTCCTGGAGGCCACATCCCGCCGTCACTAAAACTTATCTCCCCCACCCCCTGCTTTGGAACAGAGGGTCAGTGCTTGGGTGGCGAAATGGGGTGACTGGCCAGGCCCTCTGGTTTTGCTGGCCCCATGGTGACCAGAGAGCAGGCCTCAAAAGGTACTCACTCACCTGGACCCAAGAGGTTGAGGTGGAGCGGGATGGAGGCTCACTGTCCAAATCAGAGCTCTGCTGGGGTGTGGGGGTAAGATGAAGTGGACATCCCTTGTCTGCCCAGGAAACTGCTGCCTGTGGCTCCCGTCCACCCTTCCTGCAGGGGGCTGTGGCTTTGTGGCCCAGGCCAGGGCATCCGGTGTTGACTTCTTGGGTTCCCACCCCAGGGAGTGGGGGAAGGGCTCCTTATGGGGGACTGGAGGACAGTGCCCACAGAGCCTCCACTCCACTTTCAGCTCCGAGCAGAAGGAGCCCAGCAAAGAAGAGGTAAGGCTTATGGCAGCAGCTGAGCAGGAGGTAAGGTGGCAGGCCAAGGAGGGAGGGCTTGGGGCTCTCGGGGCTCCTGCTCTGCCATCGTCCTGGGTCCCAGGTTCCAGGTGGAGACCCCTCAAGCTTTGGTTCTTCCCACAGGTTTCTGAGGACAGGAGTACCTTGCAGACCTGCAGTGCCACCAAGATTGCCAGTAGTACGCCCGACCTGAAGCCAGCAGCTGGAGGTCAGGAGACGCCCCCGGAAGGGCAGCAAGGTGAGTCTTCTGGCCTGCTGCGTGCAGGACCCAGAGCCGCAGTGGGCCTTGGCGTCCTTGGTGGCCTCAGCCTGGCCTTCTCTCTGGGGCTAAGGAAGCCCCATTTTTGGGTCAGTAGACCAAAGATAAAAACCTGGGGGTGCGTAAACATCCTTCAAGAGTATAGATTTCATCTCGCACCTTTGGGCCGGAGCTGTTGTTGAGCGCCACACAAGTGGCCAGGCTGGTTGGGGCAGGAGGCAGGGGAAGGGCCTGAACTGGGGTATGAACCTGAGGGTGCCGGGTCAAGGCCTTGATCCTGACTCCAGAGGGCAGGAAGAGCCATGGGCTAGGGTCTGAACCCCTGCCTGGCCTGCCATTTTGCATCTGCCCCTGGCCACTCCTGACCTCTGTGGGTCCATCCATGCCTCCAGAGGGCAGGAGAGCTGTGGGCTCGGGAGCTGGTCTGAGCATGCTGGCTGCTGGGGAGGTCGTGGGGTCTGGCTCACATCTCCCTGGGAAGGGTGCTTCTCTCTCTGGTGAAGAGCACTGTAAGCTTTGGGATCTTGAACGTGGTTTTCTCTTTATGATGGGGTCAAGGACAATGGCCATACCAGCCCCGTAATCCCCAAGGCTGCTGCAAGGAATCTTTGGGTGCTTTCTCCTAGCACCCCGTGCGTCCCTGCTCCCTGCACTGTTGACCCAGCAGCAAGAGCCCTCCCCTCCTCCTGTCATGGTGATACCAGCTGAAAGTCCTGGGAGGAGTGGGCTTTTAGAAGTTTGCAAGGAGATGTTGAAGGGATCCCTTCTGAGAGGGAGCTACTGGGGGGTACTTCCCCTAATGTGGTTTCTATAAGGCATCTGCACACAGCATTAGAGGGGGTGGCGGATGGCTGGGGTCGCCTTGATAGGACTGCCCTGCCCTGCCCTGCCCTGCCCTGCCATTCTTTTTTTTTTTTTTTTTTTG